TAAAGGAGGGTTTATCCGTCATTTACAATATTGAAATCTGTATGAATATGGAGCAAACAAAAACCACTTTTGTATGTAAACCGAAAATAAGAAGATACACCAACAGGCTTACTAGCTATCCTCACGTGAGTCCAGGTGTGGTGGCAGTCCTCACAAACATAAAATTTTGTAAATAAGATCTCTTTTGTTGAAATTTTGTTTCAATAAAACATATCAAAGCCTGAAAAAAAAAAGTTTGGAAACACAAACCCTGATCCTGAAAGGTTTTCATTAATAGAGAGATGTGTTCATGGTGTTTGTTACTAACATATCTTTGATTAAACAAACCAAGTAAATCACCACAGCCATATTTCTTAGAAGAGTAACATTTTCTCTAGAAAACCCTTAAAGAGGTCCTTCAGGAGGCATTCCAGAGAAGCATTGTTATCACAAGAGATGACAGCACTGTGCATGTTATTGCCCCTGGAGACCTCCCAGTGGGACAAGATGTGAAGGTAGAAGACAGTGCTATTGATGATCCTGCCTTGTGCTACTGATGATCTTGAGTCTGACCTTAAGCTAACATGTGTCTGTACCTTAGTTTTTTTTTGTTGTTGTTTGTTTGTTCTTTTGCGTATTTATTTACTTATTTATTTACATTTTTTGGGGCCTTGGGAAGAACATTTGGAGGAGGGATATGGAGACAGAGCATTGTCGGGACAGGAAGGTAGTGTTGTTATCTGTGCCTTAGTTTTTAACAAAAATGCTTAAAAAGAAAAGAAAATAGAAAAATACTGATAGAATAAGAATATAAAGAAAGAAAATGTATTTTGGATTTTATATAATTTATTTGTGTTTTAAACTAAGTGTTATTACAAAGAGTAAAAAGTTTAAAAATTTAAAATTTTATAAAGTAAAAAATTACAGTAAGCTAAAGTTAATTTATTTTTATGCTATTTTATGGTTTCTTATTTAAAATTAATCATTGTACATCTGGATTTTATATAATTTATTTGTGTTTTAAACTAAGTGTTATTACAAAGAGTAAAAAGTTTAAAAATTTAAAATTTTATAAAGTAAAAAATTACAGTAAGCTAAAGTTAATTTATTTTTATGCTATTTTATGGTTTCTTATTTAAAATTAATCATTGTACATCTTTATAGCATGCAACATACATTGTCTTTTTTCTTTTTCTTTGGAGACTTTTTCCTATAGGGCACATGCACTCACCAGAAAGACAGAGAGAGAGAGAGAGAGACAGAGAGATAGAAAGTGAGAAATCACCCCCCAGGGGGATGGCCACGCTATAATCCCTTCTCCATTCTCCTCTTGGGATCTTGGGCACACATGCACATGTGCCCGGCGTGAGTTTAAGCCACCAGGTCTGGGACTTGAACCGCGGTCGGCTACATGGGAGTTCAGTGACATAGCCATTACACTAACTGCTGGTCCCACAACATACATTTTCAGTGTGCATGCAGTGTGTGACAATCAAATCAAATGTATTATCATATATATAAAATTTTCAACAGAGAATTTTACATCCTTGTATTTGTTAAATGTTTTTCCCTGAGTCCTTTCCTACCCTCCCTGCTATCTACTCGCCTCCTATATAGTCTTTGGTATCTACACTTGCCCTGTCCACTATAGAGTTAATTTATTATTAAAGAAAAAACTTGAAAATAAATTAGTGTACAGTGTTTATAAAATCTAGAGTAGTGTACAGTAATGTCCTAGGCCTTCACATTAATTTACCACTCACTCGCTGAGTCACCGAGAGCAACTTCAAGTCCTGTGAGCTTCATTCATGTTAAGTGCCCTGTGCAGGTGTACCATTTTAAATTTTTTGTACTATATTTTTACTGTACCTTTTCTATGTTTAGAGTTTTAAAATTTACCATTGTGTTACAATCGTTTACAGTACTCACATGCTGCATAGGTTTTTAGCCTAGGAACATCAGGCTCCTGTATAGCTGAGGTATACAGTAGGCTATACCATGTAGGTTTGGGGGAGTGCACATTTTGATATTCATATAATGACAAAGTTGCCTTATGATACAATTCTTAGTTCATATCCTCTTTCTTAAATGACCCATGACCATTTTCGGTTGTATACTTTTTATTCCTTCCTCATCATCAAATTACTCTTTAATGAACTCCTTTCCTTTGTGGCTCTTTACCAACTGAGCCTCTACCACATCTCTCTTGAGATAAGTTTTTATGTCTTGAGAATGCAACCATCAATCAATATTGCAGCTCATGCACAGGGTATTCTCTAGGATTGCGTCAATGATTCTGGAGGGTACTGTGGGTGAAGATCTATGCCACCTGTGTCAGGTGCTGTTGACAATACCATAAAAGGTGCATTTCATTGTGCTGAATGTGTCACTATCCCTTTCTGTCTCTGAATAGTTCCTCAAGAACTTTGATAATGAGTGCAGAAGAGAGTACTATGTCACTTGATTCTTTTCATTCTGAACTGTCAGTTTCACTAAAGTCCAGACACTTTCAGTCACTGATTGACTTGGCCATGCTGATGTCACTGACAGCTTTTCTGAAGGCAGGTCCAGGTGGCTGATGGGGCAGTCAGTGCAATTATGTTGTCCATTTCCCCATCTGCACACACAAGATGCACAATTCTGATTTCTTTGGGGTTGAACATAGGTGTCATGATAAAGATGTCTGGTGTCTGATGAACCTAGATGCTGGGCTTCTGAAGAAAACTATACTTTTGTCTCCTTCAGTTCAAAGGTAAGAGTCAAACTTCTTTTTATTTTTTTGAGAGATTTTTGCTATAGAGCACATGCACTTGCTGGAGACACAGAGAGAGACAGACAGAAAGCAAGAAATCATCCTCTGGGAGGATGGCCATGCCACAATCCCTCCTCCTCCATTCTCCTCTCGGGATTTTGGGCACACATGCACATGTGCTTAGTACACATATGCACATGTGCCTAGTGTGAGTCTCAAGTTGCCTGATCTGGGACTTGAACTGTGGTCAACTATGTAGGAGTCCAGTGATGTGACCATTATGCCATCTGCTGGTCCCACATTATTATTATTTTAAAATTTGCTATAGGGCACACTTGTGCATGCATGTGCATGCACATGCACGCACATGCATGCACAAGAGAGAAAGTGGGAAAGCAAGCTGCCAGGTCTGGGACTTCAACCACAGCCGGCCACGTGGGGGTCCAGCACCTTAAGCAATGCACCACCTGCGGCCCCCAAACGGTAATTATAATTTCTGGAAATAATAGATTCATTTGAGAATATTCTGACTGTATGAATCTATACCACTTGATTACTGCTCATATTATGATTAGTCTTCCATTCATTAGATCAAGACTACAAAGTTCTTTTACTTATTTATTTAGTAATTTGGGGCTTACAGAGAAAAAGGGGTGAAAAATACAGAGATCTCATATATTTCCTCATTCTTCCCACCCCTCATTTCTCCTATTATTAACATCTTGTATTACTGTGCTACATTTGTTGGAATTGATGAAGCAGTTTCAGTACATTAACTAAAGTCAATAATTTATATTAAGGTTCACTCTTTGTTTTGTACATTCCATGGTTTTTGATTGTGTAATAACATTCGTCCACCGTTATAGGATTATAAAGAAGTTGCATTGCCCTAAAAAATCCCCTGTGCTTCATCTGTTCATCTCTCCTTTTTCTTCTATCTTCCTGAACCCCTGAAAACAACTGAACTTTATACTGTCTCTGTAGTTGCCTTTCCCAGAATGTAGTTAATTTGGAATCATACAGTACGTATCCTTTTCAGATTAACTACTTTCACTTAGCAACATACACTTAAATTTCCTTCATACCTTTTCATAACTCTTTTTTTACTTAAATCCCTATTGTCTAGACATATCACAATGCGTACATCTCTTCACCTACTGAAGAACATTTTCATTGTTTCCAAGTTTTAGTAGTTATAAATAAAGCTGCTATAAACAGGGGTGTACAAGTTTTTGTGTCCAAAGTGATTTTCAAATCATTTTGATAAATTCCCAGGAGTAAAGTTGTTGAATTTTATGGTAAGAGGATGTTGAAATTTGGGAGAATGACTGAGCCATCTTCTAAAGTAGTTGTACCGGTTTGTGTTTCTTCTAATAATAAAAGATCCTCTTGCTCCACATCCTCACCAACTTTTGATGTCAGTATTATGGATTTTGATCATTCTAGTAAGTGTAGTGGTATCTCATGTTGCTTTATATATTGTTGCTATTTTCATATGCTTACTTGCCATTTCTATATCTTCTTGGGTGGGGTGTGTATTCAGGTCTTTTGCTAGTTTCTTGATTGTGTCATTTGTTTTCTTATTGCTAAGTTTTCAGTGTTCTTTGCATATTTTGGATACCAGTCCTTTATCTGATATGTGTTCTATAAAGATTTTCTTCCAGTATGTCACTTGCCTTTGCATTTTCTTAATAGTTGTTTTATTGTTTATTATTTAGCCTCAACATTATGGCATATTTTTAAGTATAATGACCCCCAGGTTTATAGGTATTAAAAAGTCCTAACTCCTCATTCATGTTTACCATTGACTTCCTAAGTAGTTGGTTGCATTTGTAGAATGGATCAAGTTATCAAGGCTAACATGGGCTCAACCTCAAACCTCACGTTCTTAACGGGGATCAGCACTGCTATCATCTGAGAGTCGGCTTGTGGCCTGTCCAAGTTGGCTGGGTCTCACTGAGTTGATTGGAACAGCTAACATTTTTGCTGACTGGAGTCATGCTATCTTTGCCAGTTTGCTGGAATAGACATAGACACTGATTGGGTCACACTGAAGACATTCCTGTCTTGTGAAGCAAGTCTGTTTGTATTTTAGGTTTGCCAGGACTAATGAATTAAAACATTTGGACTCTCCACAACTTGCTGTTTATCAATGCCTCTGACAGGAGGAGGGTTTTCTTTTACTCTTGCTTTTTCTAGAAGCATGACAACATCCTGGCTGTTAGAGAGGCAAGGCGAGGAGAGAGAGGTTGTAGAGGGAAGCGGAACAGGGAGGTCCCGTGGGACACCAGGGTCTGGAGCAGAGCAGGTAGCAGCCTGCTGCCCTGACAGCTGTCTCTGCTCCTCAGATTGCCAGTGGCTGCTATGCAGCAGGTGCAGCCTGGTCTCTCACTGAGTCTTTACTCCACAAAGGCAGCGGCTGGCCAAGGCAGTGGTTGGTCCTGGATTACACAAGTGCAGACACTCAACTAAGTGAGGTAAGGCAACAGGTGTGAAATCGAACTAAATGCTCAGAGCACCAGTAACTTAACCAAAGCTCTGTTACAGCTTGTAACTGAGAGAAGGAATCAGTGGCCCATTTCCCCAGGCGGTGTGATGAAAAGGCAAGTTGGTACAGGGGCTCTTGTGTGCTTGCAGTGTGGAACTCAAAGTCCACCCAATCTTGCCTCCATCTTTTCGGAGGCAGACAGATGTTCTTCCTTGTGCTGAGGGGCTGGGGGGGGGTGTTTGTGGGGTGGGTGGGGGGACTCTCATTAGCTGTGCTTATCAGTTCCATTTTCTGTAGCTGGAAATTGTACCAGAGATCTATTTACAAAATCCTGGAGATAAATTCCAGTTTGTGCTTTATTTCTTGGTGTAGGAAAGTGTTGGGAGATTTAGCCAAAAGGGGAGTTCAATCTTCCATCCTTAGATGTTAGGATAAAGTGGTTTGGTGATTGTCTAATGCATAAGTCTTTTCCTTTTAGCTACAACTTTAAGATTGTAATAGTTTGTTTTGTTAAATATGAGATGATCTGTGCTATTCTCTAGGAACAAGTGGCTAATAAAATGCTTGATTCTAATCAGATGAGACACACAGAAGTGTGTTAGTGTTAGGATAAAACAAATCCCGAGTCAAGGAACAGCAATTCTATATTATCCTTTTCTTAATAAGATGAACTATTTCATGCTGCTGTTTTTTTCTAAGAACTATATGACATGGAGAGTGGAGTGCTGTATGCTTCATAACTATATGTAGCATTGAATGAATGGACCAAATAGGATTCTAACTGGGTGATAAATAGTTGCTGTTTTTTCCTCCAAAGTTCTACTGCGTGTTTAAGATAAGCTCATTCCCTTTCCATATACTGGGTAAGACAATTCCATGTGTATGTTTGACTAAGCATACGTGTACACATAAATACACATTGGCTTCGGCTCCATAAATAATTATAAAAACAAAATTCAGTGTTCTGGACACTATTTTTAGATAGAGAAAAATTGTGGGAAAAGAGAAACCTTTCTAGCAGAAAATGTTCTGCTAATGTAGTTCCCAAAATCTCACTTAGGATGGCTAAAGAGATTATCTTTTGTCCTTTTCAGAGACATTTTTCTTAACATTAAAAAAAATCATTCAGGTATTTTTGTTTATTGTCTACATCAGAAGAGAAGTAGAGGGTTTAGGGGAAGCAGAGCTAAAAATAGAAAAATTAAATATATGTATTTAAACAAAGATTTCATATATTTATATCTTTTCCTAGTCCCTGGGAACATCAGATTATCAAACATCTTAGTTAATATTTACTTGGATTAAATTCTCCTATTATAACATAGAAATATTTATGTATTTTTGCCCATTTCATCTTATCTGTAGGTTTTTTTTTCATTCACTCTATCTTAGTTTGTTAATTAAAAGATAATTTAGAAGATGAGATTTGTTAAGTTTTTAGATCTTTTGCTTATACATTGCTACATTATGCAAACTTAGAAATATTTGCTAGATTTACATTTAGCTAATCAGATATTTAGAGCTCATAATAATCAAAATACAACTGTGGAATATTTTTAAGTGATATTTGGTATTCTTTAAATGATTCCATGATTACTAATTCTTTGCTGTGCTCAGATCAATAATTCTGAATCAATTTAGGCTTCTGAGTGTGAAAAGCTGGTCTAATACAAAGCTACCTAATACCCTACTAAGAATATATCTATTTTTATCCTCTTCAATTAAAAATAAAATGCTATATATGACATTGAAGGGCCAGAATTGAACTGGCCAACATGAAGGGATAATGAAAAAGTGAGGCACATAGAAAGTTCTGCCACATTTCATTCATTCTACATGTATATTTTCAAAGCAACATTTTATAAGCCAGAATTTAAAAAAAAATGGGGTAGGTGAATACTTTTGATGTAAGAAAAGCTGAACACTAGGAGTAATCTTTGAGAATACAGTGATAATCACTCACTTTCCCCTCTAAGTTTCAAGGGCCTCTAAGTATGCAGAGGGATGTCAGGTAAGTGGCAATGTCTCTCTTTCGTCCCTCCAGCTGGAAGACCCAGGAGAAGACCGAGGCTCAGGTGCCCACATGATCAGCACAGCCAGGGTACCTGCGGATAAGCCAGTTCGCATCGCTTTTAGCCTCAATGATGCTGCAGGTACACTCTGCATGGGGGTGGGGAGAAAAGGTAACCTCTCTCACATCCCACCCTTTCACCCTCTTCTCTAATCCCAAACTTGGGTGGAAAATTTAAAACCACATGTTTGTATGACCTTTTGATGGAATCTAGAAATCCAGGCATTCCTAGATTGTGGTTTCCAATGCCTCCAGTGATGCTTCCCCCAACCTTAAATCCTTTGTGTTTTTTTTTTTAGCCCATTTCTCCTTATTTATTTATTTTTTTTTTTGCATTTAGTATTCTTTCAGAATAAAATTTACAGAGCTCTAACAATTTCTAATGATAGCAGAGCATGTCATTGTTAAAACTGCATGAGGAAATGTTTTTTAAGAGCTGGCAATTGGTTAGGTAATTTAAAAATATCACTGTCCTGATTCCAACGACAATGCAGAAGCTGAAGTTTGAGATGCTCATTATTCACTGGTGCTCCCACACTTCCGGCTAAATAAACAGACTAGCCAGAGTGATGAATGGGCAGGTGAGGAGGGGCCTTGAAATAGTCAGGGCTGAGGTGAAGCTGCCATACTTAGAGCCCTTAGTCATGGCTCCCCTCAATGACCTCTTAACACACATATTGAATTTCACCACCTTTGAACAAGGGACCTCGTGTGGTGGGAGGTCACAGTTGTGAGGAAAGGAAGGCTTGGCTATCTTCCACTGGCATCAGCCACTGCTCTTAGTTTAATGCCATCTGTTAAAGTCACATGCTCAACATTAACATTTAAATCTTGAATCTTTGAGGACTGACTCTTTCTGTCCATCTGTCTATATATTATTAATCATTGATTCGTCTATCACCTATTTATCTCTGTCTCCCTACAATGTCTCTGTAGGGGTGATGCTTTAACAAATAATGATGGGCCCAGTCATGGTAGTGCAGCATGCTGAGCTGCAGCGTGACCACAGTTTGAATCTTTGACCCCGTTGGCCTGAAACATGGCAGATGGCAGGCACACACAGATCCAAATAGCTAGAGAACTAGAGAGAGGGGACTGTGGTGTGACTAGACCCTGTGGAGTGTGGTCCTCTCTCTTTTTCGCATGTTTGTACGCTCTAAATAAATACATAAAAAATGATCATGAAGTAATGAATAAAAAGGGGCAGGGTTATTTCAAAATACTGCAAAGTGAGAAGCTGGACTTTTTCAAGTCTGGATTACATAGCCAGTGCAGGCTTAGGGTAACTATATCAGGCAGAGGACACATCTACCCTGGAATTTGCCAGACTGTGTAGCCCCCAAGAGGATGAGTTCTAAAGTAGGAAGAGGTGAACCCTGACTCTTCATGATGTATGTTTCCAGTACTACTACCGTAACCTCTGAGAGACTAATGGGGAGAAACGCTCCCAAAAGCAAATCAATTCACACAAACTAGAAATGGCGACTGCCATGAATTACACTTCTTATTTATTTTTGGGGGAGAAGTTTTTTTGCTATAGGGCGTGTGCACTCACCAGAAAGACGGAGAGACAGGAAGCGAGAAATCAACCCCCAGCAGGGATGGCCAGGCTGCAATCTCTTCTCCCTTCTCCTCTCGGGAGTTTTAAGCCACCAGGTCTGGGACTTGAACCGCGGTCGACTACATGAGAGTCCAGCAATGTAGCCATTATGCCATCTGCTGGTCCCTACACTTCTTATTTGTATTAGCCATTCATTTATTTTTTTTCCCTTAAGCTTATTTATTTATTCCATGAGAGAGAGAGAGAGAGAGAGAGAGAGAGAGAAAAGCAGTACCCACAACAGTCTTGATGCTGTGACCCACCCACCTCCCAGTTTCAGCCAGTCTGAATCATGAACACATCTGTGCCTGTTTTACTCAGATTTCTGTACATGAACCAGCAACCTTTCCATATGGGTCAGCCTTACAGAGTGTTGCATTTTTACTGGTATACCTCCTTCTGGCTCCGCCCATATTATCTCTGATCCTTAAAACAACCATGCAACATAGGTATTAGTATTCCATATTTTCAGAGAAATTGAGACCCAGAGACTACACCATTAATAAGTAATGGATTTATGACAAACTCTGTTCTTTAGACTTGGAAGTTTGGATTCTTTCTCTTATGTCATGCTGCTTAATTAAGAGAAAAAAAGAAGAGTCCCTCCCTTTTTTATTCATTTCATAAATGCAAGATTTCTTTTTTTTTAATTTTTTCTTCTTTTTTAGAGGATTTTGCTATAGGGTGTGTGTGCTCGCCAGAAAGACAGAGAGAGACAGAGAGATAGAAAGCGAGAAATCATCCCTCAGGGGGATGGCCATGCCTCAATCCCTTCTCCTCCATTCTCTTCTCGGGATCTTGGGGACACATGCACACGCGCCCAGTGTGAGTTTAAGCCACCGGGTCTGGGACTTGAACCGCAGTCGACTACGTGGGAGTCCAGCGACATAGCCATTACGCTAACTGCTGGTCCCAATAAATGCAAGATTTCAAGGAATAGCCTTGAAGGGCCAGCTCTCCAAATATGCATATACAAACCCCAAATTCAGGGGGAAAAGAAGATGCATAATTTCCTTTCTTGCTGGTGTATCAGGTGAATAGAACAAGTTCTGTTACAATCAACAATCTTACAAAGAAAATGTCAGTACATAAAACTTGCTTATCCTAAACAATGTTATTGTATCATATTAGGTTATTGGAAAAGGTATGATGTATTTTTTCTGTTTTTCTATGCAAAAGTACATCATGACTTTTCTGACAATCCAGTCACTTTGGACCAGACAAATGTACTGTTCCCTTATCAATATTTTAACAGAATTTAATTTACATATACAAAAGAGCCATGGGAATGTAAAATCACTGTCTTTGGGCTTCATGAGTACACTTTTGTTGAGATATAGATGTGTGACTTGTAATTAATTTGCTACCTCCTTTGAACTCTCTAGGTCCCTGACTGGGAGCTCATCAATGTTTTTCATCAATCAATTTAGATGGATTTGTTCCATCTCTCTCTCTCTTTTTACTTGTAAAGAGAATTTACCCAACATGACACACCTCAGACCAGTCCAGTTTTTCTCTCTTTTCAAAGTTTATTCATTTTTTTTTTTTGAGAGAGTCACACCCAACATGGTCCTTATGCCATGATGCATCGCCAGGCTCAGCTGGCCCAGAAAACTGGCCTGTGTAACCAATATGCTCAGAAGGTCCCAGGACATGAACCAAGAACCATTCCTATGTGGGTCCAGATGTGTAAATGCTGCACCCATTCTGTTCCCCATACTGGTCTTGTCTTTGTTTTCTTTTCTTTCTTTTTTTTTTGCTACAGGGCACATGCGCTCACCAGACAGCAAGACCGAGACAGCAGAGACAGAGAGATAGAAAGGAGAAATCACCCCCCCAGGGGGGATGGCCATGCTGCAATCCCTTCTCCTCCATTCTCCTCTCAGAATCTTGGGCACGCACGCACACATGCCCAGTGTGAGTTTTAAACCACCGGGTCTGGGACGTGAACCGTGGTCAACTATGTGGGAGTCCTGTGACATAGCCATTACGGTAACTGCTGGTCCCAAGAATGCTCACTTTTGAAGTTCATGTTTTTATTAGGTAACTTCAAAAAGGGGTTTCATTTTAAGTAATTTCTACTTTCTTGCCCCACAAAAACAGATGCTTATGAAAGCATCTGAAGAATTTACCAAAATTGAGTATTTTTATATTGTGAGTACTGTATTACTATGTCTCTAGAAAGGGCACCAACAGGAGAATCCTAAAGCAGGGTCTGGTTCAGTGTTTCTCAAGCTTACTTGGTTAAAATGATCACCTGAAGACACACATCAAAAACACATGGTTCTAAGGCCCCATTTCTGTATATTCTGAATTAGGAGATCTATTACTTCTCTACAAGGAAAAAGAAAACCAACTCCTATGTTTATGCATACCAGAAATGCAGCATCTCAGGGAAGAGTCAGGGCATAGGCCTCTATAATTTTGCATGCACATGTGGTTCTGAGAGCACACAAAGATGCTTATCAGATTTTTGGAGACACTCCCTCTGAATTCTTGAATAAGGAGTGTGTATAATGTCACACAGAGTAACACTTGCCATCATGCAAGCTGTGCATGCCTTTGCAATTCCAGTGCATGTGGCCTGTAGACCACACATTGTGGGTGAAAATACCCTAGACTTTCATAGTAAATGGGGAAACTATGTGGACTTGGGGGGAATCATTTCATATTGTTGGATTTATTGTTGATGAATAAGCAGAATCCATGGTAACAGGAGATGTTTCTGCATGTGAATGTTGAAATCTTTCTTTCTTTCTTTCTTTTTTTTTTTTTTTTTTTAAGAGAGATTTTTTGCTATAGGACACATGTGCTTGCTGGAGAGACAGAAAGCGAGAAATCACCCCCCAAGGGGGATGGCCATGCTGCAATCCCTTCTCCTCCATTTTCCTCTCAGGATCTTGAGTACACATGCACACAGCATGAATTTTAAGCTGCCAAATCCAGGACTTGAACCCTGGTCAGCTACGTGGGAGTCCAGTGATGTAACCATTATAGTATCTACTGGTCCTGACATGTTCATTTCTTATGAATCTAATATAGCACTCTCTTTGCCTGCCCCCATATATTTCTAAGATGATTTAAGGTAGAGATTAAGGATAGAGGGTTTTAGAGTCAGAGAAGAGTGATTTTTAGAGTCATCTATATCACTACGTGTATGATATTGGATACTTCATTATACCTTGCTGAAATTTAGTTTACCCTCAGGTATGGATGTTAGTAACCCAAAGGATTGTTCTGAGCATAAAGTAACACCTTAGATGTAAAACATTTAGCAGGGTCAGCAAGTGGCATGGTGGTTTAGGCACTGCACTCCCAGATGTTCGACCACGGTTCAAGTCCCAGACCCAGAGGCTATAAATTCACACCTGGTATGTGTGTGTGTGTGTGTGTGTGTGTGTGCGCCCAAAAATCCCATGAGGAGAATGGATTGCAGCATGGTCATCACCCTGGGGCAGTGATTTCTTGCTTTCTGTCTCTTC